CGGTCTTACCTCGTCCACCCAAGGGACGCCTACAGAGATATCGATCCACCTTTTCTATTCGATTAACGTGCCCATCCGAAACCGGCCAGAGATTCGCCCCTCCCCTCTTTCAAAAGGGGGGGGGGGGCGACCGTTTAACGGCAGCTGCCCGTTAAACGCTCGGGCAAAATTTTCGTCCACGTGGTCTCGAAATCCCGACTCGTGAGATAAGGAGCACGTGACTCGATTTTTCCCTCCATGTGTATCAGCACGAGCAGGAGATCGTTTTTTCGGACACCGTTGCTAATTGAATCGCGCCCAATCGAATCGAATCGAATCGAATTACGGACGAGCCGCCGTGTCTATTAGCGAACGATTGGTTGGCGACACTCGAGATGAGTGACGGAAAAGAAAGAGGAGAAGGAGGGGGAAAAGAGCAGAAAAATAGCGACAAAGCGGTGGAATTGTTTGGAGAGGGGAAAACAGCGATTGGGCGAGGAATAAATACAGGGCTGTCGGGGAAAAGTTGGACGGGGACAGCAGCGTACACCTTAGGTTCAATTGTACCTAACCGAGCGGATAAAGTTCGACGAGATTCCTGAACCACGATCCTCGACGAAACGTGGCATCATATCTTTTCTCCTTTTTCGACGCATGTTTCGCGAGAAATCGCGAAATTCTCGTAGGTCGAGGATTCGTGTGGGCGCGCGGCTTTGGGAAAGAGAGAGGGTGTAGGTATTCAACCGCGAGGCATTCCGAAAATAGATCCGCCGAGGAACCGTGCGACGACGTTAGAAACACTGTGCCTGTGTATAATACTCTCTCTCTCTCTCTCTCTCTCTGTCTGTCTGTCTCTGTTTCCAACCACGCTTTAATTACGAAAAGAGAGGCGAGGATAAATATACGTATGCATATACGTATACACGGCAAACAAAAGCTGCCTTTTACGAATCGATCGGACAAATAAATCGCGTCGCCCGATTTTTTAATCCTCCTCTCGATTCCACGAAGCCGCAGGTTTATTTTCTTGTAAGGGGAGGATGGAAAGGAGAGTGGAAAGTGAAAATTGATAGCGGGGACGAGGGGCAATGGCGAAGCATCAAACCGGACCGTTCCCCCTCTTCCCTCGTTCCGCTCAAAGATTCCACCCCTCGTGGACGATGAACAACGCTACGAGGAGCCCTCCTACGCTCGTTGCTAATCGCCCGTACGATGATACGCCAGAAACTCGCCCCGCGGTTATTGT